CATGGGTCCGCGAGGGCCACGCGGTTGCCCAGCCTGCCACGAGACGGCAGGGACGTCCCAGGGGCAAGAGGCACGGACACGGGATCCTCCCCGGGGGATGCGGGACGGGAGGAGCCCCTTGGGGCCAGGGCCAGGGCCGAGCCCGAGCGCGCGAGCGGAGGGTCCGCTCTGCGGACAGAGTGTGCGAGCTCTGCCATTATCGGGCCCGTCTTCGCTGGCGGGAAGTGGCTTCTTATTGACAGGAAGCCGAATTCAGCTGGTATCACCCCGAGGTCGAGGGCCAGAAGAGTGCAGTATTTATCTGTAGTCAAACACAGCGGGGAGGGAAGCGGCCAGGCCCTCCCCCAGCCGCGATAAGCCTCGTGCCTCTTAGAGCCAACCGCTCCTTTCCCCCCAAATTGCTCCTTTCCTTGGAGAAGCAGAAATGGGCAAGGGCTTCCCTTCCCTTCCCTTCCCTTCGAGCAGGTTTCCTTCCGCTCTGCCGGTGCCAAACCTGCCCCCGGGTCTCGACCCGCCTGCCCTCGGAGCTGAGGCCTCGCAGCGCTCGCTGCACCCTGGCCAGGTCACATTAGCAGAAGCCCAAGGTAGGGGGCCGGGGCCGGACCCGCTCGCCGGTTGTCCACGAGACAAAGCGTCCCGCTCGGGATTCGGGCTCTTCAGAGGATGCTCGGAGCCGGGGCGCATTCGGCACGGGGAAGGGGCGTCCCGTTACTCCGGGACGGGGCGGTGGCTTGCACAGGGTCAGGGCAGAGGTCGCTGGCGGGGCCGTGCGCGGGGGATCGGATGAAAAACAAGCTTTGCTTTGCAGCCCATCTCGCTCAGCTTTAGGCCACAGAGACCCCTCGTTGCAAGAGCCCCGCGGCCTCCACCGCAGCCCACGCGTGGGCCCTACGGCTCCCGCCTGCAAGCTTGCAGATCCGAGCAGGGGTGGGGGAGGAGGGCACCGCATTGCAAGAGGGAGCGGGACCCGAGCAGGATGTGGTCTGCAGAACAGAAAGATGGGCTCGCGGTGGAAACGTGGCCGGGCTAGCACGGGCTGGAAGAGACGGAGCCGTGGTGGGGAACAGGCCGGAGCTATCACGGGCAGCGAGAGGGGGCAGGAGTCCAGGCGGGAGGGCACGGGGCAAGCCGCTTTGCTCGGGAGCAGCCCGGCTGGTGCACGGTGCCACGTCCGCCCGGCCGGGAGTCGAGGCCAGGTGAGATCGTAGGCGTGCGGTTGCAGCAGGTGTGGACGGGATGGGAGGGATTCGGAGTCGGGTGAAGGCCCCTGGTCCCCTCCCCGGCGCGGGCCGCGGCAGGGTCCCGGGCGGAGGGTGCTCGTGCGCCACCCCGCTCCCTGCCCCCTCCCGCCCGCCCGGGCTGCCGAGCCTTTCCCCTGCACTGACAGCTGGTATCTAATTACTGTGTGAGAATGAAAAGTCAGGCTGTCCCAGCTCGAGGGAGCGCGGATTAACGTCTCCTGCAGAATACACTTCCTCTGCTGGGTTACCATGGTTACCCTCATTACCTGCCTGACGAAGAGGCGCTCGTGGCTCTAACAGGGCTTTTAAACTCGGGCCTGGGGAGGGTGGCAGGGGGGGCGGCGCCGGCGGGAGGGGGTGCTTTTCCTTTCGCCGGGCCGGACCCCGCCGCACGCAGCCGGCAGAGCAGATGTCACCCGGGCAGCCTCTGCGGTCTGTCAACAGTCATTAGCACCGGGGCAGAGAAGGGCTGAGCGGGGCGGTTCAGTCCCAGGCCTGGCAGCGGGCCACTCCGGCTGGCGCTGGGCTCAGCTGCCCCGCGAACCTCCCCGAGACCCCGCCGTGGGCACCCGGGGGTCTGGCCCCGCTTCCTCGCCCGGCGGGCACGGCGTCGCCCTCCCCTCCCCTTTGCCGGGGACGCGGTTTGCAGAGCCGTGACGGGAAAAACCCAGCCGGCAAGGGTGGAAAGGCGGCGAGGGGGGAGAAAGGGCCTCCGGGCTGGGGAGGCGGGCAAAGGGCAAAGGAGACCTGGCTGCAAGACCGCCGGCCCCATGCATGGGCGAGGGCCAGGGCACGCGGTGCACGCCCAGACATCTTATGGAGTTGCGCCTCTTGCCGTGGTGCCCGGCTGGGGGCTTGTTGCGCTCGTGCAAAGCGGCCCGGGGGGCTCTGCCCAAGCCGCTCGCGGCCCCGGTGCCCCGGGGGGCTGCCGAGCGCAGAGAAGGGCGAAGGGAAAGGGTGCATGGGACTCTCCACCCCATCACACCCCCCTGACAGGCAGCTAACCCCCCTCACAGGCCCCCGCCGTGCCGAATGAGTCTGATCATCCCCATTGCAATCTCCTGGTCTTTCAAGAGCCCGGCTCCCATTTTAAGCAGGTGCGGTGGTGGCGGTCCCGGGGCCGGGGGGGCTTTGCTCGGCCTCTCCGAAGGCCCACGCTTCCCGAGCGCGATGCAGCGTCCTTCTTCTAGCTCGTGGCTTTGCAACAGCGTGCCCCGCACGGTTACATGCCCAGAGAGGGACAAAGGACGGGAGCAGGGAGAGGAGCCAGGAGGAGGGATGCTGCGCGGAGGCAGAGCCCTGCCCACAGGCCCTTCCAGAGGGCGAGAGCGGCAGAGGACGCAGCTCCTCCGCCGCAGCTGCGGTGGGGGTTGCAGAGGAGCCTGGTGCCAGACGAGTGGAGCGGTACCAAGAGACGCCCAGTCTGAGAGCCCGGGCAGCCCCGCAGCAGCCTGGGAGCAGGCAACGCCGGCCTGGCACGGCGAGGGAGGAGGCTGCTCGGGGGATTTGCACATGGAGTCGGACACAATCCCCCCTCGGGTGTGGCCGTGCTTTTCCCCTGAAATAAGGGACCGTGGAAATTAGACTGGTCCTCCTCCAACATGCTCCATCGGGCACCCAAACCATGGTCGTCCCTGCCCCTCTACAGACCCCCCTCGTCCCAGCCACCTCCACGGAGGGCCCGGGGGGGGAGTCAGGAGACACGGCGTGCTTGTGCTAAACCAGCGGTACCTCTCGCTGTAGGCCATCTAGTCTATGTGCAGCCTACACGCTGACGCCTGTGCAAGATGTCTCCTTGAGTACAGGCAGCGCTCTGCTTGAAGAGCTGATATTCCCCGAGCACGTTGAGGCCAGTCGTTAGCGGGAGGCCAGGCCTAAAGAGCAAACAGGTTCCGATGGTCCCTGGATGGCGGCTTCCGAATCACCGGCATTGTGGGCACGGGACCCGGTTTCAGTCCGCTTTAGAAAGGGACAGTTATGTTGCGGGTGCGGTTCCTGTGATCGCGCACACCAGCCGGGGAGCTGCACGCGCGAGAGAGGAGCTAGCGCTCGCTTGCAAGGGGCCTGATTGCACGCGCGTTCACAACCATGACATGGAAAAATTGAGCTCACAACCCTGTGCTTAGCTTGCTGGAAACAGGCCCTTAATCATACCTGTGCGCGCATGTGCCTCTCCCTAAATGCAGTAGTTGTGCTTTCTTAAGGAGGAGGCTACATCTCTTGAGAAACCTGACTGCTTCCCTTAGCTGTACGCTCATATAGATGTCGCTGGTGCCCTTGGTGCCAAGAAGGCTAACACCATCCTGGGCTGCATCGGCAGGAGCGGTGCCAGCGGATGGAGGGCAGCGATTCCTCCCTCTGTTCAGCACTGGGGAGGCCACATCTGGATCCTGTGTCCAGTTGTGTCCCCCCACTACAGAAAGGGTGTGGGCAAGTTGGAGAGAGTCCAGCGGAGAGCAACAAAAACAATTTGGGAGCTGGGGACAGGACTGGTGAGGAGAGGCGGAGGGAACTGGGCTGATTTAGTCTGCAGAAGAGAAGACCGAGGGGGATTGAATAGCAGCCTTCACCTCCCTGCAGGGGGGCTGCACAGAGGATGGAGCTGGGCTGGTCTCAGTGGGGGCAGATGGCAGAAGGAGCAATGGGCTCAAGCTGCAGCAAGGGACGTTGAGGTTGGATATTAGGAAAAATTTCTCACTAGGAGGGAGGGTGATGAAGCACTGGAACAGGTCACCCAGAGAGGTGGTGCAGTCTCCCTCCTTGGAGGTTTTTAAGACCCAGATAGACAAAGCCTTGGCTGGGATGGTCTTCTTGGGGATGGTCCCGCTTTGCACAGGGGGTTGACTCCTGAGGTCCCTTCCAACCCTCATTTTCTACATTTCTATGACTCCCCGCGTCTCCCGTCAGCACTCCTGGCTCTGGTGCCGCTCCAGGGACTGACACGAGCAGCTGCTGCGTGCTGGAGGATGCCTCCTCTTCTCTTGGCCCACCTTACCAGTGTGCGTAGACACCACGCTCGGCAGCCAGAGAAGAGGAGCGGTGCTCCCCACGCTTTGCGCTCTCCACTGGTCCGTCACGGCTGCCACGTGGCAGAAGGACACCCTCGTGTCCCTCGCACGCCGAGGGGCAGGGCGGCGGTGGCGTGTAAGGGAGCGTGCTTCAGAAAGGTCAGCGCAGGGTAGGAGGGTGATTCAGCCTTGTTCCTTCGGGGCCCTCATCCTGGCAGCACAGCTGAACCTTGCTCTGCTAATTGGTCTGAGCCCGGGGTGGGGGGCTAGCAAACTCCCTGGCCCCCCGGAGAGGCTGGCGCTGAGTGCAAGGCCAAGGTGCTCCCACTCCGATTCCCAGCCTAGTGAGATCACTCCAGATGATGACAACCGCATTTCTCAATTGGTTAAAATCCCACTCTGGACTCTTCCCTTGCTTTTGTTCTTGGCCCGGTTTCCCTGGCAGCCGGAGCAGCGCAGCAGCAGCAGCAGCAGCCGCCACTGCCCTCCCTCTGAGAGGAGCCTCCCTGGAGCCCTGTTTAATTCATCCCCCTCAGCCTGCGCGCCCGGGGTGGGAACACTGGGAACACTGTGCCGGCCCCCTCCCCAGCCACACTAGCCCGAGGCCCATCTCATCACCCCTGTCACCCCTCGCTGATACTAACTCAACTTGCCTGCACTGTTGTAGGGGGCAGATGGACTGTCGGAGCCCGAGGGCATCTCTCTGAAACGCGTTGCTGTGGTGGAAGATTTCTTTGACATCATATACTCAATGCATGTGGAGAACTCGTCGGAGCCAGGCAAAGCGCCCAAGCATGCCGGGCAGAAGAAAACCTACCGAGCGGTGAGGCTCCCTCCTCGTTCTCCCCAGACAGCCGGGCGCATCGGTGCAAAGGGGGAAGACCCCCCGGTGCGAGAGCCCGCACGAGCGGGGTGGGATTTGGGGAGGGGAGAGGGGCTGCCAGTGCGAGGATGCAGAAAGCTGTGCGTGTGCGTGTGCGGGGTGGGGGGTGTCGTAGGAAGGCACAGCTGCTGTGCTGCGGAGACAGGAAAAGAAAGTGGCAGCCGTGGTGTGGGTGCACGCTGGCTTGGGAGGGGACGGCCAGGCTGTGATGCACAAAGGCAACCGCGCACGACTGGCAAAGGAGCCTCCTCGCAGGCTTCAAGCCTTGCTGATGCGAGGAGATGTTCACCCCGTCCCCTGCTCGAAGCCACCTGCCTCCCTTCCTGCCTCGGCGGTACAGAAAAGCCTCATTTCTCCCAAGTTCCCCAAGGCAGAGAGCCACGACTAGGGGAGTCTGGGGGCCACGGGGTGGCATCCCCCTCGCAGCGCTGCCTTGCCGCGTGGGCTGCCCTGATTTCTATCTCGGGTCCCCCCGCTGCAGAGTGGAGGCCTGGCATGCACCGGGGCGCGGTGGATCTCATGAATCCCAGCACACGGGTGCAAAGAGCTGGCTCTCTCCCTGCCGAAGCCACCATAGCTAAACCAGGAATGAATGGAGCCTGATGCCTGCATCTTGGGGAAGTCGGATATTGCCCCTGCAAATATTCTGCATCTTGTTTCGTGCCCACGAGGCGCTGATTTCCCACCCCCCGCCCATCTCCGAGCAAGCTGCTGAGTATCAGACGCAGGCAGCAGCCTGCGTCTCCGCTGCGCGCGCTGCTCAGGGTCCCTGCTTGCAAGGGCTGCCCGGGTCCCTGCCTGGCAGCGCGATGATGCCGAGCTCGGGAGGCCGCAGCGGATGCTCATGCCCCCGCACCAGATCGCAGGCCCTGCAGGCTCTGCACGCTGCGTGAGCGCTCGAGGCGGAGCCCGGGCTCCTGGCAGGACCTGCGAGCTGCTGGAGCTCCTGCTGGGGAGCAAAGCGCCGTGCAGACATCTCGTGTCCTCCCAATGGCTCACGGGCCCGGGGGGTTGCGTGCATGCAGCTCCTGCCCCTGCCATGCAGCACGCAGCCGGCAGGCCCATCGTGCGCGCGGCCGCGCTCTGGCCGGCGGCGGGTGACCTCTGCACAATTAAGGAGGGCAGCTTCACCAGCACGGCCACAATGCAGAAGGTTCTGCTCATTTCCACAGCAGGCTGCTCTGACCCTCCCTAATTCCTTCAATCCAGCTCTCCGGAGGACTAATCTGCGCGCAGCGCGGCCTCCGGGGAGCAGCCTGTGTCGGTCTGTTTTCCCAGGCCTGCTCGCAGCAGTCAGAGAGCTCCACGCTCCACCCCTGAGGCTCCCTCCTGAGCTGAGATCATCACATTAGCAGCGCATATCCCCTCCTGACCTGGCAGGACTCAAGCTGACTGTCCTCCCCGGTGCCCCATCACGCTGCCCTGGAATACATTTGCAGCCTGGCTGGGAAGGTGAAATACTGCAGATTACACGCGGCGCCTGATCCGGGGGCCCCGGCGCACAAAGGGGCTGTGTCTGGATGGGCAGCTCCAGAAGATGCACAGCGTCCCTCGCCAGTCCTCTGCCTCTCCACCATCTGTAATCAGAGTCACTGGAGAGTTTGCCCTTGTCCGTGACCTCCAGAGAGAAGCAATCAGAAAGGGAATTTGGATGGGAGATAACTCATCAAGGAAGCTGCCTGCTCTGCAGAGCATCAAATCAGCTGAGAAATAACAACTGTATCACTAAAATTAGCCGGACATTTGCAGCAGACACCATGGTGCGGCTGGAGCGGGCGGGGGGC